GTGATATGATGCAAAGATATATCCAAATATAAATGAACAAATGAAATTCAATAATTTATAAGTGAAATTCAGTAATTTACAATAAAAATTCGGTGATTTACAAGTAACATAATAGAATTCAAAACACCAAATATAAGTGTTTAGATGTGAATGAGCAAGTGAAATTCGAAGATTTACAACCCAAATTCGGTAATTCATAAGAAATATAAAGAAATTCACAACCCTAAATGTAAGTGTTTGAATGTGACCAATAAGTAAAATTCAGTGATTTACAGTAAAAATTTAGCAATTTACAAGAAACATGAATACTAGTATTTGAGGTTGTGAATTATCTTATAAGTTTTGTAATGTTTATGTTTCTTATGAATCACCAAATTTGAGTTGTAAATTGCTAAATTTCACTTGTTCATTTACACTCAAACATTTACATTTGGAACTATGAATTCTCTTATATTTCTTGTGAATCGTCAAATTTGAGTTGTAAATATTTGATTTTCACTTGTTCATTCACACCTAAACACTTGTATTTTGGGTTATAAATTCCATTATGTTATTATAAATTGTCAAATTTTTATTGTAAATTATTGAATATTACTTGTAAATTTTCGAATTTCACTTGTTCATTTACACTTAGAGACTTGTATTTATTTGGTTATATATATATATTTTTTTTTCTTTGCATCATATAATTTAATGGTTTGGTTGGCTTGGTGGTCATATTATTTTTGGTGTGCCAAAAGGTCATGAGTTCAAAACCCCATTAGCCATCTTATTTTAAAAAAATATCCTAATCAAAGTTCAACCTTCAGTGGCAGCCACCTGATCACTGGTGGCCAAACCTCGGACTTCCGTTGGCCAGAACTCTATCGATGATTAATATGTATTTTAAAGAACAAAAGAAGGGGTATTATTGTAATTTTATCCTTAAATGTTAATTTCATTTTAGTCTTGAGGGTTGACTAACATTATGAAATGTTTTGAAGGCTTACTGATATTAATTGCCTACAATGATCCTAAAATAAAATGCTCTAAAAAATCAGATCAAGTTTTTTGTTGCCTGTCTGCCTCCTCGTAAGCCGTTTTTGAGCCTGTTTAGAATAATTTATAAATAGCTTTTTAATCATGATTTACAGAATATGAGATTAGTATGTGAGATAAATTTTATCTCAACTTATATGAAACATACTTATCAGTGTTTTTAAACGTTTTCATAAACAATTCCTCTCTTTCCCAATCTTCCCCATGGCCAGGCGCCCTCCAGGCCTTCACCTCTAAAGTCCAGCTTCCCCTTGTGTACACAGCATGTGCGTTTACTTGCTTTACGCCAGAGTCCCACTTTTAAACCAAAAAAAAAAACAAAAGAAAAATTTGCCAACCAATTTAATAAAATAATTTTATTAAATTCAACATAATGCTAATAAATATACATTACTTTCAATTTTTAATCATATTCCTGTTATTTTTCTTAATTTTATGTTTTCAAAAATGTAGGGCCTGTTTCTTTCTGTTTTTTTATTTTTTATTCTCAAAATAATTTTATAAAATTATTTTAGTAAGTTTTAGAAAAAAAATCAGGATATTTATTCTAAAAATTATATTTGAAAATAAAAATACTAAGATTGGAGGGCGAAACTTTGGTGAGAACTCAAGTCCTCAAACAGAGAAAAAGCCATCGAGAGGAGAAGAAATGATTTCCTAATTTTCCCCAAAAAATACAAAAATAAAAATAAAGAAGATACTAAGCTAATTTTTTAATTAATAAATTAAAAAAGTATACAAGTGTTTTTGTATACTCTAAGAAGTTAAGAATTTCAAAAAAAATTATCACCCACACCCAACAAAAGTAGTATGTGAAATGCTATCTAGGATTTCACCTTCACCGGTGGAAAAAAATTTCTTACGCCAGTTACAAATGACTTTTTAGATTGCGCCTGAAACCAGTTTTAATAAACGCGATTTAGAGTTATTATTGCGTATTTTGAGTGATTTCTAAGAGTCAATAAAAGAAGTTAAATTTGAGCACTGACTGGGGGTTTCTTTGTAAATATTTTAGTTTATAAAATAAAATAAAAGTGGTGAAAATAATTTGAAGTATTAAAAATATCTATTTAATTTAATTTTTTTATTTATTCTCTTTTATGCTCCTCTGTTCCAACTTCCACGAACTCAAAAACAGCAGTGTTTGGAGCTGGATTTTGAATCTCAAAGCCTGATCAGGTGCCGCACGAATTCATAGTAAAAAAAATAAAGAAAATATTAATTTTTTTAACGCCAGATTCCCACTTTTAAACCGAAAAATTACCTTAGTATTTTCTTTTTTTTTTATTTCTTAACTTTTTGAGAAAATTAGGAAATCCCCTTGATAGATTGTCCGCCGTTTGAAGACTTGAGTTCCGATCTTAGTATTTTTATTTTCAAATGTAATTTTGTAGAATAATTATCCAGAGTTTTTTAAAATTTATTTTAAAAAATGATTTTATAAACTTAATTTCAGAATAAAAAATAAAAAAATAGAAACAGACAGGCCTATATTTCTGGAAAAATAAAATTAAGAAAAATAACAGGAATATGATTGAGCATTGAAAGTAGTGTATATTTATTAGAATTACGTTGAATTAAATAAAATTATTTTATTGAACTGGTTGGTAAAAAATTTTTTTTTTTTGGTTTAAAAGTGGGAATCTTGCGTAAAGAAAATAAACACATATGGTGTCTGCACAGGAAAGAGCTAGACTTCAGGGATATGTTTGGTTAAATGAGAGAAATGGGAGGTGAGGGATTTTAATGAAGGGAAGAGGAGGGGAGAAGAGTAAAAGATTTTAATATTATTTTATTTGGATTTATAAAAAAAGAGGGGAGGGGAGGGGAAGGAAAAATATTTTAATATGAACAATTTTGTTCTTATTTCATTTAAGATATGAGCATAATACTCACAATACGACAAAATATAGACATAATGGTCACAATATGGCAAAATATTGCCATTTCCCTCCAAATCCTTTCATTTTTGGAGGGGAGGGGAGGGAAAATTTAAAAAAAATTTTCTTCCCCCATAAAATTTGTGTGTTGTCAAATAAGAAAAAAATAATTAAAATCCCTCTTCTTCCCTCCATTTCCTCCCAAATCCCTCATATCAAACACAGCCTAGAAGTGAAGGGCGAGGGGAGGATCGGGAAAGAGAAGAGTAGGCAGCAGGTGGAAGGATTTGTAAACTCGTTCTTGCAAATTCAATATTTTTCATTATATAGTATTTTACTCTTCCGGTCTTTAATATAGGACTTATTTGTTAAATTAATTTTGATCTTAAATATAAGATTTATTTTTTATATTTATCAATTTTTTTTAAATTACTCCTATAGATACTCTCTCAACTATAATCAAGTAAGTGAGGGAGGAGATATTAAAAAAAATAATTATGGTGTTTTAAAAAAATATATGTTATATTTCTTATAATTAACTAATTTATCTAATTTTTTTAATCTAATTAAATTGGTTAAATAAATTTTATATTAAAAACAGGAAGAATATTTTATCGTCCAAAGAGCATTTTGGTTAAAAAGCCGAACAGGCATCCTAGTACCATGGTCTGAATTTTCATTTAGGGGAATGCTTAGATGAAACCAAACTATGATTTAGAGAATAGTTTTTGGAGAATAGATTTTTGAGAGAATAGATTTTGTAAAGAATATATTTCGTAAAAAATTGATTCTGAGAAGTGAGAGTGTTTGGATAATTGTTATTAGAAGTACTTTTTATATGTACAAATTACTAAAAAGAACATAAGTTAATATGATAATTACATAAAAGATAAATTTTATGATATATTTTAATTTGAAGGAATAAAATTGTTAATAATATATTTTTATCAACATAATTAATAATACATAAAATAATATAATTAATAATTAATTAATATGTGTCTATACTTATAAAATATAAGATTAAATATGTTTATAAAAAATAATTGAATGGTGTTAAAGTTATATTATCGCTGAGATCTATTCTAACATGTACAATCATACTCTCTAATTTAAATCAGAAATAGAATAAATTTACTTTTTCTGAAACTATAATTTTGAGTCTAAAGTAAATTTGAGACCCAAACCATGGTTTGGTCTCAAAATCATGTTTTATCGTACTGCCGAACATCTTGGTCGGGAAAAAACAAAGGGTTAATTAATCCGCAAGTCCTTATAGTTTCAACCAATTTTGAATCAGGTCCCTATAGTTTTTTTTCTTTTTATTAGATCCTTATACTTTTACCTTTTTTAATTAGGTCCTTGTATTTATTTTTCTTTTAATTAAGTCCTTATAATTTCATTAAATTTTTAATCAGGTCCATGTAGTTTTAATTTTTATTTATTAATTAAATATAAGCTTAATTAAATAGATTAATAATGAAATATAAAATATTAATAAGTAAATTAAATTAATAATTATGTAATAAAAAATAATAGAATTAATTAATTCAGGAAAATTTTTTAGAACAATTAATTTTTTTGCTGAAAAATTTAAAATCATTATAATAATTCAATATCTTTAGAATATTATTGTTTATAAACTAATATTAAATAATATATACTATTTTATGTTTATATAATAATACTATTAGAATTCATAAAATAAAGAATAAAAAATTCAGAGACTTAATTAAAAATAAAATGAACTTATAAGGACTTGATAAAAAGAAAAATAAATACAAGGACCTAATTAAAAACAAGTGAAAGTATAAGGATCTGATAAAAAGAAAAAAAACTATAAAGACCTAGTTCAAAATTCGTTGAAACTATAAGGACTTGCGGATTAATTATCCCAAAAACAAAAGGGGAAAAAAGGATAATACGACCCTTTGGGGTGGGGACAGTAATCAATCCATGCCAGAGAAAAGCTCAGTGTTCCTGCAAAACCCAAAGTACCGTACAGATATGTGGTGGGTCTTTAATCGTCCCTCACCGTAAACAAAATATCGCAATTCCAAACACGAGGAGAATGCGTAAGGCGTTAATGGGGTGTTTTTGCTGACATTCCGTTCCGCTGTCGAACTCTCTGCTTGAAAACTCAACTTGATGGTGTTGGTGTGTTATCGCTCTCAATTCATTTCACTGTCTCAGCGCTTAAAACCTCAGCGTCTATTATTGCCAATGCTTAGCTCAGTTTGCGCTGTACAATCCCAAACATGCAAGTTTTCGCCCTCGGTTCTGTATCAGCATCAGCATCAGCATCAGCATTAGCAATGCCTACTAGGTGCACCATGCTAGGGCGTTTCCGGGTTGTGGCTGATGGGTTCCCTTCGTTTCTTCCCAAAGAGGTGGAGAAAATCAAAGACCCATTTGCTCGAAACCTCGCCAAGAGGATTCAGAGACTACCTGTTCCTGTAAGTTCCCACATTTCCCCTCTGTATTTCGCCTTTTCAGTGGAAATTTCGTGCGTTCTTGTTTATGAATTGCACATTAGATGTGGGCTTTGTCCTGTTTCATCACCCTTTTGTGTTTCTTTCAAGTTTCTACCATTGTGGCTGCTTGAAAACGGTAATGGCAAAAGCCTAATGTTGTTTAGCTTGGTGTCGGATGATAGCTGCCTCCCCGGACCTATCTAAACTCTGCTAGAAGGACTGTGCGCTATGGCGATGTACATATAGTTACTTTCGTGTCTCGACGAACATTTTGGACTTGAAACATAACCATTAGACTGGCCTACTATTAATTCGTGGCTTGAAATAACTAGGGATGTCATCGAAAGCTGGTCTTATGAGCAGAACTTGGTTAAACTATGAGTGTGACGCCATGGTCACTTGTAGTATGTGTCCCAATCGGTAACATCTTATTTTCCTGGAGAACGGACGTGCTTGTTTTAGTTGCCTGGATCTCTAGGCTGCCTCGATTTATTTTCATTTGAGATCTTGAAATAAGATTATATAGCTTGTCATAACTCACTTTCAGACTCTAATCCCCTGGAATATAATTCAACCGCCAAATTGCTTTGGTTTGGAAACATTTTGCCAAAATGGTTTCAGTTGGAAATTTTTATATTTATGATAAATATTATGTATGTGTAATTTCTGATTCTCCTCATTCCTCAGTTTAATATGGCACTCATCCCTTTCTGCTTATAAACTGCTGATCTAGTCCATGTGGCCAAAGCAGGTGAAGTTCTCCGAAAATCTCATAATGAGTAGCTGTGTGAAGCCACTGAAGCAGAGCAAGGAAAATCCAGTAGTTCTTCTGCATGGTTTTGACAGGTCCTTAAACTAAGAGACAGAACTAATTGGTATACTTTATGCTTAAATTGCTTTAGGATTTCACACTTTCTTAATATTCAGCTCATGTTTGGAATGGAGATATGCATATCCATTGCTTGAGGATGCTGGTTTTGAAGCTTGGGCTGTTGACATTCTTGGTTGGGGTTTCTCTGATTTAGGTCTGCTTTGTGGCTTCACCTTTCTTTTTCTCCATCTTTCTCTGCAACATTTTAGTTATGATTTTCTTCCTTTTTATTTTTTAACTTCTTTGTCTATCAGAAAAACTTCCACCATGCGATGTGGTATCAAAGCGCAATCACTTCTATCAGGTACCTACAGGTTGCTTAATATATTCATTAAATATTGTGCATTCTAAAGGAGTATTGCAGCTTACTTGCTAGTTGTTACAGTGTAGTTATGAAGTATTATATAATTTTGAAAGTTAAAACTGTTTTGAATTACTTACCTTTGTTGCTAATCATACGAAATGAAATTTTACCCCAAAAAAAAAAATCATGTGAAATTAAATGATAAATCAGTAACATATAGGTTTGGGCTTTTTCATCAACATTTCTTTTTCTTTCTTTTTTTTTTCCCTTTGTAAGAAAGGTCGCTATATAGAACCAATAAGGGCAAGTGTATCCTATTTGAAACAATATGATGCATGCCTAGGAAAATTTTCGAAAGTTTCAGGATAGAGTAGGGTATATATGGTGGTGGTACTGACTTAAAAAAAAAGGATAATAATAACCATCACAAACCTTGATTTTAGCCTAATTGTTACTCATTGTGCATGGCGCATCAATTTCTGCTAGAGATTGGTATGCTTGCAGGAAAGTCATATTGGTGCATCTAAATGGCCGTTCACTGTTTGTCAATTTTTTCCTCCTCTTTTGATTTCCTTCCATTCATTACTAATTGTGTTGAAGTTGTTCTGTCAACAGTTTTGGAACTCGTACATTAGAAGGCCTATGATATTAGTTGGACCAAGCCTTGGCTCTGCAGTTGCCATTGACTTTGCAGTCAATTATCCAGAAGCTGTATGTGTCATCCAATAATTTAACTTCGGAATATCTTCCATAAACCAAATTTGGGAAAACTTGCATAGTACAAAAAGGTGCTTCATTTAGTGACACAATGGGATGCACTGAGCCTTTGGTTGTAGTTCATCTTTTCAGGTGGAAAAGCTTGTTTTGATTGATGCAAGTGTATATGCTGAGGGGACAGGAAACCTAGCAACGTTACCTAGAGCTGTAGCTTATGCTGGGGTAATTATATGTTAAATACTGAAATGCTAAAGCCTTGACTGCTTAGCCCCGGCAATCATCCGGAAACTCATTTCAGAAAGTTTACTGCCTAAACATTTTTTTCTTTATATAATTTTTAAAATATTTTCTATGGTCTTTTTAATTTTAGTTTCATATTACATTATTCCTTTTCCCTTCCTATTCAATTTAACAAGGGTAGAATCGATAAGAATCTTAAACTACTTATTGTTATACTGACTACTGGCCCTCTTTTGATTCAGGCATATTTGTTGAAGAGCACTCCATTACGATTATATGCAAACTATTTGACATTTTCGGACATACCATTCAATACTAGTCTTGATTGGACCAATGTGAGTTGCACTACTTTTATTTATCATTCATGTCAGATAATGCAGTATTTGGATCTTTGAATCATTGAGCTTCATAGCTGAGGTATGTATCCTCGCATTTCATGTTCAGTAACCTAAAAAAGTGTGTATACAATAGTTGGGAATCCAAATTTCCTATGTGTGTAACAAATGTTCTCCTAGACTGCCTGTGGTGCCTTCTTACTGATCAGTTATCATGTACTTGGGCGCTTCAAATTTTGAAAAATTTGTTTGATCAGTGTTCATAAAAATATTTTCTAGGTGGGCCGCTTGCATTGTTTATTGCCTTGGTGGGAGGATGCTACAGTGGATTTTATGACTAGTGGTGGTTATAACGTTGCTTCCGAGATAGGAAAGGTACCTTAATAGGACAGGTTAATAAGCTTTACACACACACACACACATTTATTGACATTTGGAAAAGAGAAGCATGTTGACACTGATAAATGGGTCAAAATTTGAGTGCTCGGCATCGCCCGTGAAGTGTGTACGTTTTGATAATTGGTGATTACACGAGGCATTGTAACGATTCATCTTATTTAAGCTTGTTTGCTAAAAAATCCTTCCATATGTATGCTTCAATGTAGTTTCTTTGCTGTACAGCATTACATTTATTAATCACCTTCTAGTTGTGTTCAATTTCGCTGTACTGCAGACAATTCTTTTATCACTCAGAATGAAGCAACTATACACATTTCACAATTTTGAAGGAAAACTCAGCGACAAGATTATTTCCTCTTGCAGTTATTTATCTTGTACAGAAGTTTTTACAAATTATCATGACTAAATTACAATTGCAAAGTCTTATTAGTGCATAGTGAAAAAGTTATTAGTACTTCCATAACTGCTTATATTTTACGTATGGGGCATGAGGAAACTGTTTCATGATGGCTTTTCTGCCCATATTTACTTTCATGCTTAGAGAAAAAGTTTTGCTGTCGGCTACTTACACACCACGCCAAAAGCATAACGGTTTTTGCTTGAAAAACAATTATAAATTTGTTTATTTTAAATTAAGGATGAAGGGGAGGGGTGAAGTGAGGGGATTGATTCCCCCGAAAGCTAATAAATATGGAGTTGGTAAATGTCATAAATATGTCCAAATATTTAATTGGATCGATATATTCATGCTGATGAAAATTCCCTTATGCTTGAGTAAAGCAGTTTGCCATCCTCATTTCTCTGTATGACATTACAATTTATGCTTAACAGGTAAAGCAAAAAACACTAATCATTTGGGGTGAGAATGACCGTATCATCAGCAATAAGCTTGCCGTGGTTAGTTTCCATATTGTACTCTTCATCTTTCTCAAACGTGATGAACTAGATATCAGATTGCTTAGTGTATGGAAGTCATGTTTCTGAAGCATAATTTAATTTCTCCTTTGGGTTTTAGTTGAATTGTGAGGAAGTAGGGATGATATTCTGCTCCAACGCTGTGATTGAAGTCTATCTTGAACTTTTTACTTTTGCAGAGACTTCACTGTGAAGTACCTGATGCAATTATACGCCAAATATCGAATTGTGGCCACCTTCCTCATGTAGAAAAGCCAGATTCTGTTGTCAAATTGATAGTTGAGTTTGTTCAGAGAAAGTCCAGCAAGTTAAATCAGTTTGTTTGACGAATGTGGGTGTTAAGCTCCTATTACCCATTTACTTACAGAGAAAATAGCAATAGCAGTAGATATTTGGGAAAAGGAATCAGCAGGCGATGGAGCTAAGAAGCCTAAGGTCTGCTAAATATTAATTATAGTTATTTCCATTTATAAGAGTTGTATCCAAAATCTGAACTTGATTTATGAGATGATGATATAGTGTTCAGTGATCATATTTCTCACTGAGACTGGAATCGTACATTCTTTGCCTCATGAGGACAATGTACATGTGTCGCATTGAACAAGAATAAAAACTTAATGATATTAATGCCTTGGAAGCCACTTATTTACAAAATGAATATATTGGGTACATTTGGATAGAGATAGAAAAAGTAGAATCATGAGCCTCATTCTTAATAATGAGATGGGAGTTTCACACCTGATTCTCTGCATTCATTTTGTAAATAGAGAATACAAACGTGTTTTCTCAAGAACATGTTCTCTTTATGCCTCAAGCTCTATTCTAGTTGATGCTGCCTTTTGAAGGATCTACCATGACATGTCTTACTCTGGACAATAATAAAAAACTTCATACATGTACAGGTATAATGTTTAAGCCGTGAGATTCTCTAACCAAGCAAAAAAGCAGATATATTTTTAATATCCTTGAAAATAATCCCTCAGATATAATGTTTGGTTAGGTCTGTGGTCTCTCGTTTGATTATTCTCTCTCTGTGGTTGGCATATCATACATGTACAGGTTGGAAATCTCTCTTTTTCACTCTCTCTCTAGATATTTGTGTGTCTCAGCTGTGTGTACATATATTTATGTATATGTATATATATGGGCTTTATGTTGGGGCTTATTCATATCCGAATGAATTTGATTAAGCCCATCCAACCCGAATTACTAGCTCTACGTACCATGTTGGAAGCCCCTATAGTCAGTGGTTTGGATATTTTATTTCTATATGCTCAATAATAGGAAACTAAACACCATCATCCATTGATGAGAATGAAGCCGAGGTATAATATTTATTTTCCGTACACCTATTATAGTAAGCTTTTTAATTATAACTAAATGCCTTTTTTTAATGTGAGAAGTGTAGAGAATAAAATCATAATATTTATTGATAGTAGATTTTATGTGGGTTTAAATTGTATAAAATTAAAAGATAAAAAAAAAAAACGATAGCCAAATTTTCTGTTCAATGAATCAACGTTCTGGATACAAAGAAGAAAAGGGGGCTCAGGTGGGCGGTTCATGAATTACAATAATGTCAGCCGAACCCTTGATTATTTAATATTCGTCGGTGATTCATATCAGTCAAACTCCATTATTCTCTCACATTCTTGTCCATCAAAAATTGGTCCACGCAACACAAAGAAAGTCCCATATGGTGTCATTTCATCCTTCCATTATCATTATATTATTATTATTATTATTACTACTATTATTATTTATTAATTAAATTTCCAATAAAAGTTAAATAAATTGACGTGCAAAATCGACGTCCAATTGTATTAATTAATGAAAACCACACCTTATAATAAGAAATTAAAAATTGCAAGTACACTTTATGGCAGCCTCCTCTAATATTTACACGTACTTGCACTGACAAGAAGCGGAAAAGGACGACACCAATTAAAATAAACGACAACACAAACGTCTCCCCATCAACTCAAAACGACTTGTCATCCACTCATCCACATAAAGCAGATGGTACAAGGTTCGGATACCAAGTGAAAAGAAGGAGATCAGATAAGCGCGAGAGGGCATCTTGGAATGAAAATACCATTAAAAATTGACGGTGGGGAACAACAAATAGTGCTGCTCATAAATATACAAATGGAGAAAAGGTAAGAAAAAGAAAAATAATAACAACAACAATAAAGGAAACAAATTATATGCCATTCCTAGCTTATCCTAAGTGGGGTCCCTCCCTGCTTTCTGGATGATTCTCCTCAATTGGTAAATAAATTTACAAGACTACCCATCCTCTGTAATGCCAAAATCTCATCCAAAAATCCAACCCAACCACCAAGTATTTTCTCCTTTATAACAACACTAGCTTACTATTACAGCTAGCACTGTACCATTTAGACTCTGAGAAAAGATAGCCAGAAGGTAAGAACAAGGGGAATCAGTAATTTAGTGCCTTCCACAAGAATCTCCCCACCACTGCTACTATCATTGAATGGTGTTGTAGATGATGTTGGGCTAATTCCAAACACAGGACTTCCCATGGTGGTTCCAGTGCCAGTACCGGTGCCGGTACCAGTCCCAGTTCCGGTACCTGTTCCGGTTCCAGTACCGGAAGGTGGTACGATGGTGGAAGGAGATGTGCCTGGTGTGCCAATGGTTGGGCTGCCTGCGTTGCTGCAAGAAGAAGCAAACTAATTGATCAACCGAGATTAGATGAACTTTCAAGAAACCTAATTGATCAAACGTAATTTTAGTACAGATCTAGGGTCAACAACATTAGGAGGGTACAAGAGGACAAATATCTGATGAAACATCCAGATCACAAGCCAGTTAATTGATTTAATGTCAAGCAAGAAACATGATGGTATTTCCAAAAAGACCTTTTAGATGGACTATACTTCAGAATCTGGGAATGTGGATAGCTCAACCAAAAACGTCTTTATGGCTATCTACGCCAAAATATCAAACCTTCTTTACAAAACCAATCCCAGTTTGAGAGGCGTTCTTGCAAAGATTGAAACAAAAAAATTGTTATGAAATCCTTGTTGAAAATTAAAACAGGGTATGGAAAACAGAGGATTGGTTCTTGACGAAAGATATGAACTAAAAAATAACAGAAAGGAAAATAAAAAGAGGATTCCAGTTCCACCCAATTCACAGAACAAGTTTCAGGATTTAAAATCAGGAAACATACCTTGCACTTGAGGGATAAACACAAGAAGATGAAGTAGCTGCAGATCATTGAGAAAAAAGGCAAAAGAACATGAAAGAGCATTAGAAAGACTGAAATCCCTCAAGTTTGAGTCGAAAATAAAAAATAAAATAAAATAAATTGAAAGAAGTTTGGAAAATCAGGAAAATCTAGTTACATGGTGGATTAGCACTTGTGGTGGCAGTGCCTGAAAAATCACAGCTTCCCTGAGCTTGTCCTTTTCGCTGGAAGTAGCTATTAACAGCCCAGTTACAGTGATCTTTCACAGTGTTAGGGTTATAACAAACTCCATTTTGCATAATAGGAGTACAGTCAGCTCCAGCTCCACACGCATAATCTATATTTTTCTGAAGCACTTGATCAGCCACACCATCTTTGCATACACAGTAAAGAGCGCCTATTGAATACCCAAAAAAAGAGAGACATAAAACAAGCTAGTCTTAGTCCCCACAAGATCAAACCTTTTTCTTCCTCTTTTTAATCTTAAAGATGAAAAAGGTCACAGGAAAAACATGTCTCAGAATTATCTTTAATCAAAAACAGAAAAACCCATCTCACAAATTCCAAGCTTTCTCAGAAGGAAACAAAAACAAAAACATGAAAACCCATCTCATGATCAGAATCTGGCTGAGGAAAAAACACAAGCACCAGACAGGAAGAAACCAAGATTGCTTACTTGACCGGCCAATCAAAGCTGAGAGAACCAGTAAATACACCAAGAAAGCCATGATGATGGGTAATTCAATTTCAACAAGCTATCAGGCTGTATTAGTCTGATGAGGCGAGAGACAGAGAGAGTGAAGATCAGAGAAGAAAGAAGATTGATTTCTCAAGAAAAAGGCGAGTCCAGCGCTGATATAGTGGTGCGTCTGTATGTGAAACACTTTTTCAGCTCCACACTAATGCCTGGTTTCCTATCATGGACATGGATGATTAAGATAGGCGCGCTTCTTTATGTATACACGTAAAAAAGAATTAAAGAATATAGGTTTTATACTTCTATTACAGTGAGGGTCCGTAAGGATTGTTCTGGGGACTTGTGTATCTCATAAAGGCTGAAACTTTAGGGGAATATAATTCTGATGATTCATTGTCAAACGGTCCTAAACTCATGAGGATGGTCAAAAGTTAACCCAACCTGGTTCTGGTTAAGCTGGGAATCTAAAAGAAATAAATAAAATACTTTTTCGGTTAGTAATATATATGACCCAATTCTTAAGTTAATTTTGATTCTAAATATAGGACCCATTTCTTATATTTATCAATTTTCTCTAAATTATCTCTATGGATATTCCCTTAACCATAATCAAGTAGAAGAGGAAGGAGGGGTATTAAGAAAAATAATTATAGTGTTTTAGGAAAAATGGTCACTTTTTTTATAATTAACCAACTTACCTGACTTCTTTAATTTAATCAAGTTAGTTAAATTGATTTTATATTAAAAATTAGAGGAATAATAAATAAATAATGTCCATGGGGGGCCAAGAATGGGAAGGTCGGTTCCTTTGTATCTTTTGCTGTAAGCGTGAGCTGTCACCAAAGTACAGAAGCTCCAGCGAGCACTAATCTTCTTCTAGATAACTTCCAAATAAGGAGGTTAATGTAACAATAGGTATTTACAATCAGTGTAGGAGCATCAGAGTAAAATTGGATTATTCATAAATTTAAATAATACTACCTCCAGTCCTAATTATAAGAGACAGTTAACTAATTTGAGGAGATTAAGAAAATAAGTTGAATTAGTTATTTGTCCTAAATAAATATTGTTTTTCTTAAAATATCCTTACTAATCAAGTGTATTGATTAGAACCATTATTGTTAGAAGAGTTACTTTGAAATAAAATGTATAAATATGAGAGATAAAGTAGATTAGGGTCTTATATTTAGAACTAAAATAAAACTCAAATAGGGTCTTATATTAAGAATTGGAGGTATTATAACTTATTTTGGAACAGGGTGCATATAATTTTTTATTCTCAAGTTTATCTTCATTTCAGTTTTAATTCCTCGAGTTACTTAAATTTTCTTTCGTTTGAAATATTAATTCTCATAATTTAATAAAATTATAAATATTTTGTTCTTAAAGGACCAAAATTCATAGTTTCAAATCAAAATTTGTGTAAATTTAAAGGACTAAAAATAATATTCTTTCAGTCCTTAATATAAGATCTATTTAACTAATTTGATTAGATTGAGTAAGTTAGGTAAGTTGTTAATTATAAAAAATATAATATATTTTTCCTAAAATACTATAATCATCTTTTTAAAATATCCTGAACTATGGAATTGAGAACTCATATCTAGTTTAGTTTTGTTTTATTAATGAAATCTAGTTTAGGTTGTGATGTTGATATGGGACAATATTTTATTTTATTTTTATTTAATCTCTTAGTTAACTTCCTCCATCTCTTTGATTGCTCGTGTCACACGCATTATTTTCATGTGTTGGTGCGTGAATCATTCGCTTGGCAGGAGCCGAGACGCCTCATTTGAAGTTGGATTATGCCATCGTGTCATTTTTCAATTGGTAACAGTTTCTTAATTTCTTTTAAAGATCAGACAACAGTTTCTTAATTCTCTCTCTCTCTCTGCATATAAAGTAATAAATTACTTTCCAAAATATAAGACAAGTTAAAGACACTTCTAATGACTGGGAATTTATTCACTTCGAAACTAAAAAAGTGTTTGGATAATATCAAAATCATGATTTTAAAAATGTTTTTACAATATATGAGGTAAATATGTGAAAGAATTTGTCTTGATTTATAAAAAAGTGTTTCTGAAAGGTAATTATTAGGGTACCCAAACACCCCTTAAATGACCGATGGCTAGTGTTATATACTTGATGTGCAAAAAGCTTAACAATATATATATATGGGATTAAATAAGATTAGGAACAAAAAAAGTATCCAATTAGGCAACTCACATCTTAAACTAATTTTAAACAATGAAATAATTAAAGTAGATTATTATTTATAATTAACAATTAAATACTGTTAATTGATATTTTAAGGAAAAATAAAATTTGATAAGTAATTAACTAGATTCTATTCTGATAAACAAAATCTGAGAGTGAAAGTGAAAACTTGAAATTGACTATGGGCTTTGGACTTGGATAATGGGCTATCATGAGATTATTTGAAAATGAATTGTGATATTAATTTATTACAAAAAAGGGGAAAAAAACGAGTTGATCCAAATATTAAAAATCTAGATACTCAAATAAGGCTAGAAAGCTTTATTAACAATCCAAATTGTTCTTATCAATACCATGATGCTTGCTATAAAAATGAATATATTCCTATCATTATTATGATGCTTATTTAATAGTGATGCTTAATTTCTTTTTCTTTTTTTATAGGGAAAATCTACTTTTAATTAATCATTATTATTATTCAGGATAGGGTGGCACCAAATATCAACTTTTGGAGCATAATAATACTTGGTACATGAAGAAAATATTGCCACTTTTGACTTTACAGCTCCATTTAGCCCCTAAAGATTGAGTACTTCATCTTTTAAAAGATTAAAGTGTGGAATTCTTTTGATTCTTTTTTTATATAGCTATCTAATATTTAACATTATTAAATGATATTCAAATATAATCCAACTCCATTAGAACTAATTCTCTCAAAATGATTTTTTAAATTTATAAAATCTAAACTCTTGACCTAAACCAAATGTCTGATTAATAATTAAAATTTTCATCTCTTTGGCGGAACTTTTTTTATTTTAATACGTCATTCATGTGATTTTGTTTAGTAAAACGGGATTTTATATCTTCTAGTCTCTTATGGCTATATACATTCATAACATTTCATAACACTAATTGGCTAATAATTTATCGTTTGATAGTATTTATTTTTAATTATATTCTTAAAATAAAATGAAACTCATTTCATGATCAAAATAATTATTTTAGTTTCTTCTATCATAACACCCCTCTCCTATTTTGTATTTAGAACAGTAAACATATAATTATGCTTATATAGATTATTTTATGTATTATTAGCATTTAAAGGAAAAAGCATAAACATTTATGGCCGTATACTTCATTATATGTCTTATTTTTCTTTTAATTTTCTTCTCATTACATAACAAATCCTTACCAGCCCACACATTGATAAGCCTACCTACCTACTATTACATACTCCTCCGGTCCTTAATATAGAACCCAATTGTTGAGTTGGTTTTGATCCTAAATATAAGACCCATTATCATATTATCAATTTTCTCTAAATTACCCCTATGGATACTCCCTCAACCATAATCAAGTAGAAGAGAAAGAGGGTATTAAGGAAGATAATTATGGTATTTTAGGAAAAACGTGTCACATTTATTATAATTAACTAACTTACCTAACTTCCTTAATATAATCAAATTAGTTAAATGGGTCTTATATTAAGGACAGGAGGAGTATTAATTAAAAGAGTGCTTTTGTTAGCATAAACCTATCTAATTTTGTACGATCAAACCAATAGTCCAAATTCCTTCAAATTCCATTTGTATTTAATTTTGAATTATATTCAAATTTTAGAAAGAGATGAAAAGGGCATTATGGTCCACAAAAAAATTTAAAGAGACTAAACCTATTATTATTTGTTGATGAAAGTTTTATCAGACAATTAATTGAAAATGGGAACAAAGTGTGTTACAAGGTCTCAACTAAGTGTGGAATGCGTAAATCTATATGGTTGAACTTTGAATCTGGTTTAGGGTGACTGAAGTAAATTATTTATTTTTTATTTGTTTTATTAAAATACAAAATAAATTCTTTATTCAGAGTAGTTGGTTCAGGAAAAATTTGGTGCCTGCTACCTAACATCCTTTAACAAGGTCTCGTGTAGTATCGTGGATTGAAAAAAAAGGTTAAATTATTTAGTAAAATACTCTGACTATCTTTTTAGTTTGCATCAATTACACAAAACCTCTCATCTATTTTAAAAATATACAGTTTAGTCTAATTAGTTAACACATTAATGATATTCTAAAAATATTATAAAAATATAATTTTAATTAAAATTTATATTAAAATAAATTTTATTACTATTTTCATCCCTCATTCTAATAAATTTCTAAATTATATTTTTACAGTTACATGAATTTCATTCATTAAGACAAATATAAAAGACTCGATTAAAAATTTAACTAATTTTTTTAATAAATATTATTTGACCAAACATTTATAATTTTTGTAACAAAGATGTGTTAAAAATTTGAATCATAAATTTAAATAATTTTAAAAATCTTTCAAACTATATTATTTAAACTTTACAATAAACAAAAACTATGTATTTAAATATTTTTTTATAATTAAAAGAAATCAAAGCAAATAATTTCTAATGAATGTGAAAATATTAAAATTATAAAATTTTATGGCTTAGGTCAAAATTAATAAATTTTATTACATATTAGAAATTTTAAAAAGGGAAAATTCCAAAAAAGGTCTTTGGAATATGAAAAATGCCAGATTGGGCCCTTAAATTTCGAAAATGACAGAATGGGTCATTGACCCAATCTGTCATTTATGAAATTCAGGCGAATTGACAATTTTGCCCTCATTATTCATTCACACAATGATTCAAGGAATCACTATAAGAGTTAGGTGTTACATAGATTCGTATAGCGAATAAATATTCACTTTTTCATAGTCAGGTGTCTTGTTATTAAACTACAAACTAATGTTGTTAAACACTAGACAATGTAAGTATACCTAGATTGTGTAAAGAATAACTCTCATTTTTTCATAGTCAGGTATTTATTATGTCAGGTACTTATTATTAACTACAACGAATCTTGTAATCACTAGAACAGTATAAGCGTTACCTAGATTTGTTTAGAGAATAACTACTTCACTTTGCCAGGGGTAAAAATGTCAATTCGCCTGAATTTCACAAATGACAGATTGGGTTAATGACCCATTCTGTCATTTTCGAAATTAAGGGCCCAATCTGGGATTTGGTATATTTCAAGAGCTTTTTCTGGGATTTTCCTT